ATTCAGATATAACTGACGAAACGCCTAAAAGCAGTTTTTAGTAACTTTGTTTACATGAGGTATGACCTTGAGATACTCATCGAAAAGAATACTTTTGACTGCTTCTTTAATTTCGATGTTAGCACCATCTAAAGTAACGTTAATGTTATTTTTATCAATATTTCTGGAAGGTTTAGGCAAAAAATAATCACTTTTGATCCTGAAAAATGTAGTATGAGGTCATGTTCATACAGGGTGTCCCAGAAGTCGACGTCAAGCCGAAACCGGGTGATAGGCAAAGTCATATCAGCTATCAGAAAAATATTTAAAAAAATTTTATCTATGTGTTTTGAAAATTATAGGTCTTTGAAAAAAATATAGAAATTTCACACCCTACGGCAGTCTGTCAACTCCTGTTACTACAAATATTAACTTTTTTTGGATTTTATTTTTACAATGTAATGATGAATAATGCATCTTCAAACTGGTGTCTCAACCTTATTGCCAACTTTTCTCGTTCAGGAAAAATTGCCACTTATTTCCCAACCAAGTATTCCAAAGTAAAACTTTGCTCAACTTTAACTGGCTGTACTGGAAAAAATGTACTACGATAGTTTGGCAAGTAACCTTAAAAGTTGGCGCATTTAATAAGGATTCCAAAATGGTATAACACTTAGAAGATTACTCGTTAACTTATGCACAATTTTTATTTGAAGAAAAACTGATGAAAATTTTTCAAAATTTCCTAATTAAACAGCGATTATGAAAACGCACAAGGACCCTTAAGGATAACTGTTTGCACAACAGTGGGCGTCAAAATGCTGCTGATGATGATTTACCTTTACAGCAAATGCTCAAACTGTTTTCCTTCAGCCGCAATACACGCTCGACATCTTCTTAAAACAGATCGGGTTATTAAACGAGCGAATCCACGGTTATTAACAAACTCAGCTACTTCCAATAGCCTTTGCCGTAGCTCAGCTACATTTTGAATCGGCTTGAAATACACTTTTTCTTTTACAGTTCCCCAGTAAAAAAATCTAAAGGATGCAAATCTGGTGATCGGGCCACGGTATTGTACCAGACCGCCTTATCCATCTGCCTGGAAAGTTTTGATCGAGATACTCTCTCACTGAGAGTGCATAGTGCGCTGGGCAGCCATCATGCTAAAACCACATGTCCCTGTAAATACTCAGTGGCACGTCCACCAATAAATTTGGTACATGATTTTTCAAAAAATCCAAATAAACTTCAGCAGTCAAAGTCTCTGGGAACTCAAACGGACCGATTATTTTACCATTTAAAATTCCTGTCCAATGGTTTATCTTGAAGCGATATTGAGATTTATCTTCTCTCATCAAATGTGGGTTTGCTACGTGCCACTCGTGTAAGTTATGCAGGTTCATATACCCATCTTTCTTAAATGTGGTCTCATCCGACCATAAAATTTTTTCAAAGAACTGTGGATCTTTCCTGTGTCTTTCTAACATTGTGCGATAAAAAGCAACTCGGGGCTCATAATCCCGGGGCAGGAGAGGTTGAACACGCTGTATGTGGTATGGATGAAGCACATCACTTACTTGCTATTGCACACTTTGATACCGATCAGTACTCCTTCGTTTACTGCGCATCTCTACATGTTCGTGCTTGTTGATTTCGTACTGTTACTAATTTTGGATTCGTGAACTGGACTGTTGATCGCTTGTGATTTGGATTTGGACTGTTTAATTGCTCTTCAAAACAACATTTGCTTTCCTTAGACTATCTTTGATAGTGTGATTGTGCAGTGCCGCTATGTCCGTGTACACCGTACAAGAATATGCTAACATGCACCTCATTTATGGGAAATGCAGATGCAACGCTAGTGCTGCAGCGAGACTTTACTGTGAGAGGTACCCGAATGCAGCTCGTCATCCAGATCATCGAGTGTTCACAAATGTGCACCCGAGTACTTCAGTGCGTGCAATAGAACTAAAAACAGGTGTGCCCAAAAGTATAGCCCATAGAATCTTGCAAAAAAACGTGCTCCATCCATACCACGTACAGCGTGTTCAAGCTCTTCAGCCCCGGGATTATGAGCCCCGAGTTGCTTTTTGTCGCACAATGTTAGAAAGACACAGGGAAGATCCACGGTTCTTTGAAAAAATTTTATGGTCAGATGAGACCACATTTAAGAAAGATGGGTACATGAACCTGCATAACTTACACGAGTGGCACGTAGCAAACCCACATTTGATGAGAGAAGATAAATCTCACTATCGCTTCAAGATAAACCATTGGACAGGAATTTTAAATGGTAAAATAATCGGTCCGTTTGAGTTCCCAGAGACTTTGACTGCTGAGGTTTATTTAGGTTTTTTGCAAAATCATTTAGAAAATTTATTGGTGGACGTGCCACTGAGTATTTACAGGGACATGTGGTTTCAGCATGATGGCTGCCCAGCGCACTATGCACTCTCAGTGAGAGAGTATCTCGACCAAAACTTTCCAGGCAGATGGATAAGGCGGTCTGGTACAATACCGTGGCCAGCCCGGTCAGCAGATTTGAATCCGTTAGATTTTTTTACTGGGGAACTGTAAAAGAAAAAGTGTATTTCAAGCCGATTCAAAATGTAGCTGAGCTACGGCAAAGACTATTGGGAGCAGCTGAGTTTGTTAATAACCGTGGATTCGCTCGTTTAATAACCCGATCTTTTTTAAGAAGATGTCGAGCGTGTATTGCGGCTGAAGGAAAACAGTTTGAGTATTTGCTGTAAAGGTAAATCATCATCAGCAGCATTTTGACGCCCACTGTTGTGCAAATAGTTATCCTTAAGGGTCCTTGTGCGTTTTCATAATCTCTGTTTAATTTGGAAATTTTGAAAAATTTTCATCAGTTTTTCTTCAAATAAAAATTGTGCATAAGTTAACGAGTAATCTTCTAAGTGTTATACCATTTTGGAATCCTTATTAAATGCGCCAACTTTCAAGGTTACTTGCCAAACTCTCGTGGTACATTTTTTACCAGTACAGCCAGTTAAAGTTGAGCAAAGTTTTACTTTGGAATACTTGGTTGGGAAATAAGTGGCAATTTTTCCTGAACGAGAAAAGTTGGCAGTAAGGTTGAGACACCAGTTTGAAGATGCATTATTCATCATTACATTGTAAAAATAAAATCCAAAAAAAGTTAATACTTGTAGTAACAGGAGTTGACAGACTGCCGTAGGGTGTGAAATTTCTATATTTTTTTCAAAGACCTATAATTTTTAAAACACATACATAATTTTTTTTTAAATATTTTTCTGATAGCTGTTATGACTTTGCCTATCACCCGGTTTCGGCTTGACGTCGACTTCTGGGACACCCTATATAAATTTGAGACACATCCATATCAATAGTTACCCTAGATACTCTATGGAGCATTTTTTTATAAACTATTTGGTGACACAAAAAGAACGTAGTAGTATTTATAGAAGGAATGCAATCATCCCAGATCACAGCACTTAGGCCCCATTGGCCCTCTGGTACGTCCTCCCCAGGAGTCACTCAAAGCTGGATCGTTAGCCTCCCCAGAATATTGGAAAATGTGATGCGACCCAGCGGATTTTCCTACAAATTAGCCACAGTCACGCGTCAACATATTTCTCACGTTATAAAATTATTTGCGTTATTACTGCTAGCTACTTGTTGGCTCTAGATCGCTGATGTTACCAGTTTTAATCGGTCCTTGGAAAACGTCAAATGTGCATACCTTGTGGTCAGTAAAGCTTACTTCTTCATGCGCTTGCAGGAAAATGCCTTTTGGGCTTTTCGAATTTGTTCGTGATATAATACCTAAAAATCTAACGTTGAGTGCCCCTTAAGGTCATTCAAGTCCATTAGATAATATTTCTATCCCTCGACCCTATCGACAGATTTATTGTACAAGAAATCTCGGACCTTCTGCTCACGCACTCGACCTTCTGCTCACGCACCCGACATCCGCTTTTTTGCACCAATCGAACTCTTCTAAAACACGGTACTTCGTTATACGCCAACATGTAACATTGTTTACGACGCTACACTATATGTAAGTGCCACCTAGTATCAATTTTTATACTGTTGGCAATAACGAGTATATGCTCAGTAACATTAGAAGTATTACACTCGGAAAATATAATTATTTCAACTTGATTTTTTGGCAATGATGTAGTCTTTCATCAAGAATGAAACGATAACGTTTTCACGAAATTTTATTGACAATAAGGAAAAAAAATAAAGTGTTGAGCGACCCCGCAGCTGAATACACTCCTGTATACGTCTAGGCATCGACAAAATGAGATGATGGATGTCTGGTTGAGGCACCGCATTCCAAGCAACTCGAACTTCGTGGAATAGTTGTGGCAGAGTCTGTGGCGGATGGTGCAACGTGGATAGTGGTACCAAAGGCAATAGCCCCCTACACCATTGAATGAATGAATCTTGAAATTAGAGGCATTCCGGCCACCATAAGGAGCCAGTGCATAGGCCGCTTGAGCGGGCCCTTATGCACCTCTACAATTCTTAGATCACAAGCCTCGCCCTTTTAGCAAAGTTACTTACCGTGAGCTATAGTCCAAAGGCTCGGATGCGGCGATAAAGTGTACGCATAGTAAGAGGTCTACCTTCTCCAAACCATTGGTCAGCGATCTGACGCGTAATAAAGTTAGCACCTATCTTGACGCTCAGTGGTACGCCTCGGTGGACCAGTTGGCCTTCTTCGTGTTCCTCTACCTTCTTCTATCCACACACGACGCACACGCATTACCGTCATTGCAGTACAACCGAGACGGCGGCCAATTTCGCGATAGGACAAACCAACATCTCGATAGGCAATAATTCAACCCCTGTTATTCTCAGCACTAGTAAATCAAAGGGCAATAACTAAGACGGGAAGTAATATTACTCTATTTCAGAACGCATGAAACAGGTATCTCAATCCATTACGAACGCTGAGATTGTCACAGAGTAGTACAAAGTACACTCTGTAACCCAGCCCTGTTATTTTCTGTCATGTTCTGCCGTCTTAAACCACCATGATATGGGTTAGCTCATGTCAATCATTTTGACTGTAAATCAAGCTGAGACTCGTCGCAAAATTCATCAAGTCTAAACAAAAATGAAGTTCTCCAAGCTGAGCGCCAATTTTCTGATAGAAAGAAATTTGAAGGACGAGAAATATATAACCGTATATGACCAATACACTCCCGACTATACAAGACAAGCAGTTACTGGAAAATTTTATTCGAAATTCGAACTCAAAGTTGACGAGGCAGATCCTGCTATATTGAAAAAACTGGAATGGGTAAATACACTATTTTGTGGAATACTTAATCTCTATAGGCAATCTAAAGAACATTGCTATCGAAATAAGACAGTACAGAGTGCCATCTCTGACCAGAATCGTTCGCTGCGAGAGTGAAGACTAAATATACAAAATACTATTACTAGTTTAATATCCAGTGTCTTTAGGATGAACTATTCTAATTTCAATTTGAAGGTGAAAGATTTTGGACCGAGACAGAAGCGCGAATGGCCAGAGACGATGAATCAATGGTACGGTTGGTACCTTGAACCCCTGGTACCAGTGGACAAGAGCAACAAAATGTTATACTACCCGCAAGCCAGCAGCGAGTTGACAAAAGTTGGTCTGCAACTGTTGAAGGAGAAAACGAAAAAGAAACAGTGACCATGAGGATGTTGACGTATTCTTATGTAACGGGAATAAAATGTTTTTCATTACATTATTTACTGAATACAGGTGACGTTCAAAACACAAAACAAGAATATAGAACACACGAAACAAGATTAATGGTAACTGTTTAAAAATGATTACTTAACGTTTATTTCCTTCGTCGCAGATTGGTGTATGGTAAATTGTTGTAATAGCTACTATACTACAACTATTTAAAACTGTAATGACTCATACGCGTGATCAACATGTGATCAGAGCTCGATCCCGGCTTCCTTCCAGTACAGCCGTATAGCGTACGACATATGTCGTTTCTGTGGCTTTGCGGTGGTCAACAGCACAGACAGAGATGGAAATAATGGCCGATTGTTCTCCGCCGGTAGAACCAATGAAATCAAAGACGCGCCTCGACCGGCAGACTCATAGGCGTCGGCAACGCATTGCAATGTGTTTCGTTGAGCGATCGCATATTGTGTGTTTTTATAAGAATTGTTGTGTGATTGTTATTGTTGTGGTTTCTGCGGTTACTGTTTTGGTTATACTTAACCATGGAGAGTACAAATGGCACGAGTGGAAGTACTGAAAGCCAGGGAACAAGTAGACGGCTTGAAGAGGGACGCGAAAGAAATCGTGCTCAACGTGTTCAATTATCTGAACAGAACTATGTCGCAGGGAGATGCACTCGCGCGTTGTGAAAGTATGAAAGGCGTTCCAGAGTGGACCATTCGCAGGGTGGTGCATGAAAAGAAGAAAACTGGAGCTACTACTGATCCAAAGTTTAATTTGAAGGGACGAAAGGCCGTTAAATTGGATGACGATAGCAAAATGGCGTTAAGGTGAACCGTACATTCATTCTTCTTTAGGATTGAGATACCAACCCACAAGGCTGTACATGCAGCGATCAAGGAAAATGAAATTATACCCCAAATGAGCGTCGAGGTAATGAGGAAATCCCTGCACGAAATTAATTTTCGTTACGAAACGCGTAATCGGAAGTCAGTATTGATAGAGAGACGTGAAATAGTCGCCTGGCGTCGAAAATACCTACGCGAAATGATTGAATATAGGCGACAAAGCAGAAAAATCTATTATTTGGACGAGACATGGGTAAATGGAGGTCACACAGTTAAAAAAACCTGGATAGACAAAAACGTAGTGAGTAACCGACAAGCAAGCATTGAAGGTTTGTCAACAGGTCTTCGTGGACCATCAGGGAAATGTCAAAGATTGATCGTAACTCATATTGGTAGCGATAGTGGCTTTTTAGAAGAGTGTGACTTAATTTTCGTCTCTAAGAAAGGAGGTGATTACCATGACGAAATGAATGCCAGCTGCTTCGAGAGCTGGTTTCAAGGGGTGCTTCAGCGAGTTGAGCCCAACTCTGTGATCGTCATGGATAATGCTTCCTACCATAGTCATCGAGCCGAACGTGTACCGACTGTGGGATCTCGAAAAAGTGACATGCAGCAATGGTTGCGCGAAAAAGGAATCCCGTTTGACGATTCATGTGTGAAAGCGGAATTGTATGAAAAAATTAAACAGCACAAACCTGCGAATATTAGTTACGTGACTGATGAGATGGCCCGTCAATGTGGTGTCACTGTGCTGCGGTTACCGGCCTACCTCTGTGAACTGAACCCAATAGAGCTCATCTGGGCTCAAGTGAAGGGTTATATTGCGCGCCATAACACAACCTTCAAATTACCAGACGTTAAGGTTTTACTTGAGACTTCCATACAGCTAGTAACGCTTGGCAGAATGCTATCCGTCATGTTGTGAAGGAAGAAACAAAAATGTGGTAGCTTGACCACCACATCGGCACCATCATAGATCCAGTTATAGTCAATTTCAACGAGGAAAGCGATAGCGACAGTTTATTACTGTCAGATATAAGTGGAAGCGACGATGAATAAAGGTAATTCCCAAATTTTTGACTTACAATATGTTTCAAACCACTCTTTATTAAGCATGTGACAAATCTAGTTCACCCATGTTAAACATTCATACCCCGCCTATGAACAGCCGACTACTGGTAGTTAAGTGATGTTCACGTGAACATCGATGAGTCATTACAGTTTTAGATTGTTATAGTATAGTTTCGATGACGATCATTGGACGTTTATCTTTTTTTTTTGATACAACGGTTGCGACATTCTGTTTTTAACTGCACGGCAATCTTTAAATTGCCGGTTTTTACTACAAAACATCAAATTTGTGTCACTCATCTTTTTCCCCGTGTACCTTTCATAGGTATGTTGAAGTATCGTGGAAGAGGACTAAGTGTTAAGCCACAATGTATAAATACGCAAGAGCGCATACATAGGCCTAATATAGATTACTTACTAAAATCCATAGCGCGCTTTTCCAGACACGTTCGTGCTCTCATTTTATGTAAGCAAACATTCAACCTCGTTCACACCAGCAGATTAACACCATATGCAGGTTTGTGTTAGGATTACATATTACCAGCAGTCATTGCATTTGGAGATTTTCCAATGGCGATATTCTGCTTCGTCGAATCAAATTTCAACATTAAGGCTTCCTTAACACGTTCGCTGCCGCTGGCTCTTATTAGAGTCAACGCGAGACGTTCGCCGGTGCCGCCGACTCTTATCAGAGCCAAGGTACAATACTGCAGGCACTCAAGGGCACAAATTAGTAAAACGTCATTTAGATGGTAAAAAACAAGTATCCAGAAAAAGATTCCCGACTTGTAGCAAGAAGGGAATCCGTACCCAAACGATGTACGAATGTAGAACATGCCCTGATGTTCCAGGATTCTGCATGGAGTGCAGTGACATTATTCACAAATGATCTTTTGCACTAAAAATAGTCTGCATTCACCACAAATTCATGTTTTTATTCTAAAAAAGAAGTTGTTTCATTTCTTATGTTTGATTAGATTTTATCACATTAGGTGTATTATACTAAGTGACACATAAATCCGAACACCCAGTTTAAATGGTTTTATTTTAATAAAATTTTGTATAAGTACTTAATGAAGCATAATAAGTAAATGATAAAAATTTCAAAATGATTGCACTGCTTTAAAGCCCTTTGGCCTTTAATGTGTGGATGCACCCTGATGTGCTACGCATTCTCCAACGCGCCTAGGCATGCTTCTGATCAGGTGGTCAATGTCCTCCTGTGGTATCTCATTCCAGGCAACCACCAACTCCTCTCGAAGTGCTTCTAGAATCTGAGGAGGACGTTGCAAATTGAGCAATCTCCTACCCATCATATCCCACACGTGCTCAATTGGGGATAAGTCGGGAGATCTTGGTGGCCATGGTAACAATGTGACATCATTATGTTGAAAGAAGTCTATTGTGACTCTTGCAACATGTGGTCGGGCATTATCTTGTTGGAAAGTTGGATCTGCCAGGGTGTCAAGATAGGGTAAAAGATGGGGTTCTAGAACTTCGTGGATATAACGCTGCGCGTTCATGTTACCTCTGATGAAGATTGAAGGTGACCTGGAACCATAAGCTATAGCACCCCAAACCATAACTCCAACTGTGTGATGAACATGTCTTTCAACAAAAAACTGTGGATTCCTCCTTTCACCACGTCGCCTTCTAACCCTGGCACGACCATCGTGCATGCCTAAACAAAATCGAGACTCGTCACTAAAGACAATACTGTTTCGTTCCTGATCCCAGAGTGACCGTTGTCTGCACCACTCAAGGCGATTACGTCGGTGTTCTCGAGTTAAAGGGAGGACCCAGTGTGGCCGGTATGAAAACAAGCCAAAACTTCTCATTCGTCGGTAAACACTTCGAATGCCAATAGGTCTTCCGTGTTCTGCAAACCATTCATTTGCAATGGACCTGGTAGTGGAGAAACGGTCCCTTAAGGCCAATAATCTTAGGCGGCGATCTTCACGGTCTGTTGTTCTACGGCGGCGTCCAGTGCCCCTTGCTCTATGCGTACGGCCTTCTCGAAGCCATGCCTGACAACACCTAACCACAGAGTCTACACTTCTTTGCACTCTAACTGCAATTGCCCGAAAAGAAAGTCCAGCTTCCCGAAGTCCCACTATACGCCCCCTATCAAACTCACTAAGTTGACGAAATCGTACAGGTCTCCGTACTCTAGGCATCGTAACCGATCGTAAAGGATGTCAAGAACCAAAATCCGCCAACGTTGATTCTTTACTGCGGCTGAAATATTCATTTTTAGAGCGCTGGTGAATTAAAAAAAAGTATAAAAACCGGAATGTCCAACTGATAAGGCTGAAAATTTTTTCACTTGTTATTTACAGTAAGATAAATACATTCACCAACTTTTATTAAAATAAAACCAATTAAACTGGGTTTTCGGATTTATATGTCACTTAGTATATTTTAAACGAAGGTGCAGACTCACCCAGAATAGAATCCAGTTCAGCTTTTATATTGGTTGGGCTAAGGCCTTTGAAATAAAAGTATTGTAACACTTAACAATGACCAATTTTCTCCATTTTCACAAATTCACTGAAAACGTTCAGTGTTGATGGCTGCCAAACAAATACTAAACAACGTGGCAACTTCAAACTTGTCACATATGCTTCATAGGTTGCATACTTTCTAATACAATGATATTTTTCAAACAACTATCGCCATCTCTAGGCCAGGCCGGGTACTTCCGGGACGCATTTTAACACTATAGTATAGGATTCGGCACCAGCCTTAATTTTATTGGTCAATTTCAATTTATTTAACCAATAACAAGCTGGGTGCTGAAATCACTACCGGAATGTTAAACAGTGCTGAAAACAGTGTCAGAATGTTATCAATAAACTGCTTCTACTAATATATATAATCATAACTTGAGACGTGGTGAAAAATTAAAGCTTCCGCCTTGTGTTGGCTACTTCGACAAAATTTAAGCAAGGAGGACTCTTTATACTTTTTTTATTCTCCCTAGCTTTCAATGGTCTTTGCCATCATCATCAGGAGAGTAGTATGTGATTATGTTGCTAATTGTTGTTTACGTTAAGGATGAGGGAAACGCCCAGTAACATGCCCACCATTTTGTGCAATCATCAAGTGGCTTCACGATGTAATGTTTAACTTTCAATTTCTAATAATTTTTTTATCTGTTTTTAACTTGTTATTGTCATACAGCTGTGTGTATTTTA